AGCCATTAAAATGACTAATTTTGATATTATCCTGAACAATGTGAGGTACTCATCCATTGAGATCCTTGTAGTCTGGATCATCTTCTTACTCACTGCCTTCTAGCTGTACAAGCCACAGTGCCCTGTTAGGACATCAGCCTTGTTTTCATCTTCTCCTGATATCTGAATGGCTCACTTTCTGACTTCCTTAAAATTTCTGCTTTAATGTCACCCTGGAGATGCTTTAATGATAACCCTATCAAAAAAACAATCCTTGTCACTATTCATCACTCTCCCCTTACTCTGATTTATTTTCATAGCACTTAATAGTTCCTTAATATTTTATAACACAATATTTCTTTCTTTTTTTGCCTCCCCAGTAGAATTTAAGTTTCACGTGATAACTTTGTGTCATATCTGTGAATGTGCTTTAGGATCTACATTATTTACTGACTGGATGAAGAAATGAATTGAGCTAGGTTTATTTTCTGCATAAACTTTTACTTGTGAAGGTATAAAAGTAAATAGTTGGTTAATACTTGAGGTGTAATGTTAAATAAGATTGATAATGATGTGAGTTACTGCCTCTTTTCTCACTTTAATGCTCCTATGCTTTTATCATTAAACAAAGCTAGTCACTCCAAAAGTCCTGGATGCCAACCCAAATCCCTCTAGACAAGCTAGCTTAAATAATTCCATTAGTACCTGTTGTTGTTATTGTTGCCTGTACTGGGGCTTAAATTCAGGGCTTCTAGCTCTTACTTGATTTTTTTTACTCAAGGCTTGAACTTTATCACATAAACCAGCCTCTACTTCTGGTTTTTGCTGGTTAATTGGAGAGGAGCCAGGTGGACATTTCTGCCCTAAGTGGCTTCAAACTGGGGTCCTCAGATCTCAGCCTCCTGAGTAGCTACAATTGTAGGCAAGAGTCTTTATCACCTTTTGTATGCTATCATAGTGAGTAGCACATCTTGAATTTTTTATTTTACTGAACATCCCCGATAAATCCTGTGTATATCCCAAGTAGGTATTTAGCCATATCTTTTGTAAAGTGCTGAATTAGTTAATTCAGGACTAGGGAAGTATTGCTTAAGATAGAACCTGAGCCAGGCAGTGTGGAGCTACGGCAGGACTGTGAGTTTGAAACCAACCTAGTATACATAAACAATGTCCTGTCTTTAAAAATGATGAGGAAGAGAGAGAGAGACAGAGACAGACAGACAGGTGGACAGACAGACAGACAGAAGCAGACAGGCAAGAGACAGAGAAAATAAGGAAAGAACAAAACCTGAATTTACAGAGGAATGATCAACATTACCTAGTATAGCATAAAGGAGTTTAAGGATTGAAGCAAAATTATGAGCATTACGATAAAAGGTGACCTTCAGGGTTACTTTTGTTAAAGATATTACTAAATACCAAGTTGTGCTATGTGATTAGAATTGCATCCGATGCCATTTCTGTGGGAATAGTAGCCATTCCAGGAAATTTGGCATTCCTGCAAAATCTATGGAAACATAGTATGCATGAGCAGTGGCTTTCAGAAGGCATGAGCAGTGGCTTTCAAGAACTGGAGCTTGGTTTGAGGTTGCCACGGCAACACTACTGCTAGCTGCATACAATCTCTCACCCAGGCTTTCCTCATTTAATGACCAATGCTGTCAATGAGGTTTGCTTGTAGTAGACTTGCTTTGACAAAAAAAGCAGAATAAAAAACAAAACAAAAAAATCTCTATCAAATTTATTCCATTTTGGTTTCTGTAAAACTCAGATGTTTGGAGAGACAGCAAGAGAAGAATCATATTGTTTAAAACTCATTATTGTCATTTAAAATATGGCACCACAATTTAAGGATTTGTCTCACCTATGAGCCTTTATTTTCCTGTTTTCAGATTGTTTGCATTTTCAAAGTGATCAGATGTCCTTATATTTTCTCTATGTTTTTCCCCTGTAGTCACTGTTTTTTTTATTTCAGTACTCTTTGTATTGTAAGTTTATCTGATTTGGAGAAGGGAAGGGGAAACAGAAATGGTGAAAAAAGGACAAAGAATGAAGCAATGCAACAGCAATACTCAAAAGACACTATGTTGGAAATAAACTTTACAACTTGTAGGGGAGTCAGGGCGGTGGAAAGGGAAAGCAGGAGAAAATGAGGAAGGGGGTAACATTGTTCGACAAAAAATTTATTCATTCCTTTACTTATGTAACTGTAACCCTTCTGTAATCACCTTTACAATAAAATTTTTGAAAAAGAAAACCACAAGACACTTGGAGTATCCTGAGTTTTTTTTTCCTCCTAATGTTTTTTATTTGCCGTGGCTTGAGAGAAGAGTTCTAAGTGGGCCAGTGTTCATTTAGACCGCTTTCTCCAAAAGCGCAGATAGAAGAATCACAGACTTTTGACAGTATAATGCTTTTTAAAAAAGCATAACCTAAAAGCAAAATCAAAAGTATGATCTGATAGATACCTTTTCAAGATGGCCCTTGTGCTTCAATATCCCAACAAATATCATTCATATTTGCTGATTTAATACATTTAGTACATAGCCTGGGTTTTATTTCCAGCAATCCCTCCAAACAATAAAACAACTTTAAACCCCAACATAATAATTATGTTTAGCCTGAAATCACACTGGTAGTCTGAAATGGCAGTGTATATATATCATGGAAATACAAATGCTTCTAAACAGCTGCTTCCTTCCCACTGTTAGTTAATGATTTACTAGCATATCTGTATCAATCTCTTTCCTTATCTTGGAAGATTGGGACATCAGGCATTTTACTCTTGATTCCATATGCTCATTAAAGTATAGAAAATGAAAGAAAGGAAGAATTATGCTTTACAATACTCATAGTTTGGCTTAGCAAGCTATATTACTTGGAACAAAATGAAATAAAAGCTTTAATATAAAATTATTTATATAATGTGAAAATTGTAAAATGTGACTATGTAATCATTTTTAAGTTCCTTTTTTGAGATAGGATCTTGTTATGTAGTTCATGGTAGCCTCAAACTTACAGTCATTTCTCAGCTTCCCATGTGCTGGTGTTTTAGGCTGGGCTATAAAATCAACTTTTATATTGGTAACATTTTATTTGATGGCTTTCCTTCATACTTAGGAATCTTTTCTAACAATTTTGTCCTATTTATTTTCAAATGCTAAGTACTTTCAAAGATTGAACATAAGCCTCTAAACTAATTTGTGAGCTTGATCATTGAGATATAATTTTTTTCTATAATTGGAGTTTGTAGTGACAAGGAAAAATTAATATGCATGATTATACACAAAATAAGGTACAAAACAATTAAAGAGTACAACCTAAGAATTACCTCTTCAAATAGGCATCATTGTTTTTTTCCATTCAAATCCACAGCAACAATTGCATGAAAAAAGCTTTTCTATATGTATAGTGTTTGCCTATGATTTATTTGTAACCTATTGTGTTTTTTTAACCTTGCAGTTATCATGAAAATTTCTTATCCATGTCTTGTTCATAATAAACAAGAAAAGTGAAACATTAGCACCCATTTAGTCAGCAACTTAGAAGAAAAATATGCTTTGTATATATAGTCACTCCTTAGTAGCTGAAGATACTAGGACACCAGAACCTATGGATGTTCAAATTCTTACATAAAATGGTATAAAATTTACATAGAATCCATGCAATCTATCCATATAGTTTATTTAAATCACATTTAGATGATTTTCAATACCTAATACATTGTAAATAACATGTAAGTAGTTATACTGTTTAAGGGATAATGACAAGAAAAAAGTATGTACATGATTAGTACAGATTGTTTTTTTTTCAGAGTCTGAAAGTATTTTTTGGACTGTAGTTGATTGAATCTGAGGATGCAGAACCCATGGATACAGAGGGCTGTCTCAAGTAGATTTTCTTAAAATAACTTAATTCTTCCCCTTCAAATTCTAAGACTAATAATTCCAATTTATATTTAGGACCACCGGGCTTTTATTCATCTCATTGTTCTTCTTGCAGATTCTTTTTTTGTGCAAACTGGGACTTGAACTCAAGTAATGAGTACTGTCTCTGAGCTTTTTTGCTCAAGGCTAGGGTTCTACCACTCCGCTTCTGGCTCTTTGGTATTTAATTGGAGATAAGAGTCTCATGGACTTTCCTATCCAGGATTGGCTTTTCAAACCTCAGTCCTTACATTTCAGCCTCCTGAGTAGCTAGAACTACAAGTGTGAGCCACTGGAGCCTGGCATATTTGTATTTTTACCCAAGCAAAAAAATCCCACTTCTTTGCTTCTTCCTATACATACAATCTCAAGATGATAGGTCTAATGCTAGCACTAAATAAATCATTATTGAAACAGTGTTTGCAATTCTTTGTCTTTAGGATATAAATAATTAAACTGACAAATTATTGGGTTTAAAAATCACTGGTAATAGCTCCTTTCCTCAACCACTTGGACATGTACCTAGGTAATATTTGTATGTAGTTCCTACCTTTTGGTAGCTTACAATGTAGTGAGGGAAACAATTTCTAAGAAGCATATCCTTTAGATATAAATCATAGGAGGTCATAATATGAAATTTTTAAGTGGAAGAAAAGCATAGATATATGAGGACTAGTGTAAGCAGTGAAAATTTGCAGATAAACACATGCTTCTGTTTATATAATTAACATTATTTTTTTGCAGTGCTTGCTACACAAGTACTCTACCACTGAATTACATCCCCATTCCTATTTGTACCACTGAATGTCTGTGAGAGGAGCTCATAAAATTCTTTAAATATTTATTTCCAGAAAACACAGATACATATTTTAATAGTAATTTTGTTTAAATCAACCTGAAATACAAGATAATTAAATTAGTCCATCAGGATCCCTTATTATAGATGATACTGTTGACTCAATGTAGCTAGGATCTTTTTAGAAAAACAAAATCAGTGGATCATGTGCAATACATTCATTTTATAGATAGACTTGGTCAAATCTTGGATATCTAGTATATAGATGTTAATATTTCTTTCCTTCTTTCTTTTTTTAGGATTGGCCGCTGCTAAACTCTTGTCTAAATATGATATTAATGTTTTGGTTTTGGAAGCACGGGATAGAGTTGGAGGAAGAACATATACTGTGAGGGTGAGTGATTTTAATACATATAACTTTGCTCAAAACTGTAAGTGGGACTGACCATTTGAGAAAACAAGAGTATGTTCAGTTTCTTTAAGAAAGTATGTTTGTTATATCCAGGGCTTTGAATATGGTTTTACTTTATAAAGGGTAAGTAATGATATTTGGCTTTGAAGGAAACTAAATTGAAAACAGGCAGGTAGTGTATAACTTGAGCCACACCCTTAGCTGTTTTTGATTTAGTTATTTTTCAGGTATGGTCTTGAGTTTTTGTCTAGATTAGCCTGGATTGTGATTCTCAGATTTATGACTGCCTCAAAGCTAAGATCACAGGCACATGCCACCAAGCCCATCTTAGTTTTTGAGAATAGGGGTCTCCAAAACTGCCAAACTGTCAAACTGTGATCCTACTGATCTCTGCCTTCTAAGATTACAGGTATGTACCTTCCCACCCAGCTGGTTCTATTTTTGATGTTGGCAGCACCTGGATGGCTGGGGACCTCATTTCCCTCATATATGGAATCAGAAATATCTTTTGCTCAGGACTGTTTTTTAAGTTTACCTTAGTTATATAAGGATAGGAGCTTTGTGACATTCTAATACATGTATGCAGTGTATTCCAATCAATCTTACTTTCCTTGGTCGTTTGTCTGAAATATATGTCTTCATTTTGGAGATAACTATTAAGATTCCCTTAGCCCCTACTTGTTTTTAATCTCTAAAACTTTTTGCTTATTAAATTGAAGCATCAGTCATGTTGCAGATTTTCATTAAGAACAAGATATATAAAGGAAATGAAAATTCCACGATGCTTGTCCTAATCTATACTAATAGCCTAGGCTGCCTGGCTAGGTTACATTGTTTGAATATGTCAGCACCAGACAAAAACTATTAGTGTATATACAGCATAGTATTATAAACTTAGGTATACAAGAAAGGAGCCTCAGAAATTCATAGAAATGAATGCTTAGCATTTATAGTCTAATGACTAGGAAAAGAAGGTGTTTTTGTTTTGTTTTTTTGTCTTGGATCTTGGGTGCTGTCTCTGAGCTCTGAACCACAGTGCCACTTCTGGTTTTCTGGCAATTAATCAGAGTCTCACAGACTTCCCTACCTGGCTGGCTTTGAACTATTATCCTGAGATCTCAGCCTCCTGATAAGCTAGGATTACAGTGCCCAGCAAAAGAAGGTTTTAAGAAGGGACAAAAGTTATAGTTCAAACAGGATTTTTGAATCAAATATTATGAGAAATGCTTCAGATAACATCCGTTTGAATAATTTTTGGAGGAGCTGCCATAAAACTACTTTGGATCTTAATATACCAAAAATGTCAAGGTTGGAGGTGTTTCCCAGTTGGAAGAGTGCTAGCCAATGAGCAAAAGCAGCAAGTACCGAGTTTGAATCCTGGTCTTGGACCTAAAAAAAGAAAGGAAAGAAAAGAAATAACCAAAATATCAAATTTGGTATTGTTACCTGATACCTGCCAATTTTCCCTGAAGTGAGAACCATCATTCTTCAGAATCTAATTAATGAAGTTGAAATGCTCAAAGGGCAGGCACAAGATTATTCTAATGTGTTTCCTAATATAATTCCATGTTTGCAGCATCTTCAGGGGCTAATGAGATCTAAATTAAGGCCCTAAAGACAAGAGTACAGCATACCAGAACACAGTATTGTACTTTCAGTGTCTTACTGTGGAACCCAAGGGACGACATTTAGAATGTTTCTCCTTCATAAAGAAATGCTCTGTAAAATGCTTCAACTATTTCACTCTTTCATTTAGTATTATTTACTTTAAAGAGAGTGTCAATGTTCTAAAGACATCATGCTTGGAAATGCCAAAGAGTCCTTAAAACCGAGAAGTTAATAGAGTACTAGCTCTAGTTTTGTTCTTCAATGTTAAAATGGGTGTTGGATACTAGAGAAATTTTAGAGGACAGCATAGATGGTTAAAAGAAAACATGGATAACTTGATGTGCTCTCCAGTAGCCTTTCATCTCCAATTCTCTTTCCTGGCTCCCTTTATTCTAGCCACATTTGCTCCTTTGCTATTGAATATACTAGGTTCTCTCTGCCTCAGCCTTTGTACTGGCATTTCCTTCTGTGAGGGTACACTCCTTTTCTGGAAATAACAGATTGGTAAATTGTACTAAAAATATAGAAAAATTATATGTGTGCACATGTAAGACACACACACACACACACACACACAAACTTTCAAAGCATCAGAGAGCCAGAGACCTAACAAATAGGATTGCCTAGGTATGTAGGGGTGGCAGTAGGGGTGAGATTACTTACTACTGAAGAAGCCGCTGGGAGCCTGAGAGTGCTTTTGTTTTTGTGCTTGTCCTGGGGCTTGAATTCAAGCTCTGATCACGGTCCCTGAGCTTTTTGGTTCAAGGCTAGTTCTCTACCACTTGAGCCACAGATCTACTTCTGGCTTTTGGAAGTTTATTGGAGGTAAGCATCTCATTGATTTTTCATCCTAGACTGGCTTTGAACCATGATTGTCAGATCTCAGCCTCCTGATTGGTTAGGATTGTTGGTGTAAGCCACTAGTGCCTGATGTGAACAGTACTTTTGATAGTCTTGCAAAGCTAGAGCCCAGAAGTGAGGGGGGGTGAAGCATGGGGGGGGTGTTGGTCAACTTCTTACTTTGGTTGTACTGCAACTAGGACTAATGGTAAACTGCAGTAGGACTAGGTCACATATGTAATTCAGCCCAGCTTAGAGTCATCTCATACTTTAAAAAAGAGGTTTCATGTAACTCCACCAATGGCTGGGTGTGGTAGCACATACAGGTTAATCCTAGCTGCAGGGGAAGCTCAATGGTTGGGCATAGTGGCACAAACTTGTTGAAAATAACCAGTGCAAAAAGAGGATAGAAATGTGGTTCAAATGGGAGATTACTTGCCCGGCAAGTGTGAGACCCTAAGTTCAAACTCTAGTACCACCAAATAATAAATACACATACATGCACACATATGTATACATACATTATATATCATTACCACCAAATAAATATATAATATTATAATTTGATGATCAAATCATTATGTTAATGAAAAGATATGAAAAGTGGAAAACTGCTTTCAAAAGAGGGTAAGAAAACAATTTTAGCTTATGAGAATTTGCATGTTTGTAAAAAATTAGTAGGTATATGAATCTTGTTAACTTGTTTTTGTCAGTTGTGGGGCCTGAACTCAGCCTGAGCCCTGTCTCTCAGCTCTTCAACTCAAGGCTAGTGCTCTACCACTTGAACCACAGTGCCACTTGTGGCTTTTTTCTGCTTATGTGGTGCTGAGGAATCAAACCCAGGGCCTTATGCATGCAAGGCAAGCACTCTACCACTGAGCCACCTTCCCAGCCCATCTTGTTAACTTTTTAGTATTCTTATGATGCATTCTTCCCTGGAAGTTTTAAAAAATGTAATCATAAGCTCATCAATGTGAGTTGATTTAAATTTTTATCCAGTGGCAATCAGGGAATCAAGCCTAATAAATCTCTGATGTCTCTTCTAGCAAAAGCACACATAATAACTTAAGTGTTTTGTAAAGAATATACTGCAGTGTGCTTTCATCTTTATGGATCACCAGTAGCTCTACAAATGGAGGTGCTCTTCTGAAGTGTCCAGTTGTTTAGTTGCACTTTATCAGGAAGAGATAGGATACCATTTTGTAAAATAAATACGATCATTTTTATCATACTTTCTGATTTTTAGTTTTAACTAAAGTCTTCGAACCACTTTTCTCTTTTTACAGAATGAGCATGTTAAATGGGTAGATGTTGGTGGAGCCTACGTAGGACCAACCCAGAACAGAATTTTACGCTTGTCTAAGGAATTAGGCCTAGAGACTTATAAAGTAAATATACGTGAGCGCCTAGTTCAATATGTCAAGGTAAGTTTGAACTTTTACCCATGACCAATGTGAAGCATTTTATTTGAGAAACATTTGGTTTGTTTTCAGTTATTAATTTTTTTCTCAAAGCAATCATAAAAATAGCCTCTTAACTTTAAAGTTTTATTTGACCTTTCTTTTCCTTTACCTTTTATCTTGTAAAAATTTCCTATGAAGTAAAATCCATGTGGAGGTGGATAGACATGCTCACACACATACATCTCTTCAGTTCTAGGCAGCTTCATCTAGAAGACAACTGTAAGGCTAAGACAACTGTAAGGCTCCACGGAACACAATAGTTTGAAGCCACCTCTTTAGCTTTTGTCCTGGTTCTGTCTCTTCATTCTTAGAACTTGGCATGTTTTTGAACACTTTGATCATTTCCTTTTACCTGGCTTTGACTCTTGGGAAGTCTAGCTCAGTTGTGCATTTCCTAGCTGCTTAAATAAAGGATTGTTTAAACTCAGCTGCCCAGATCCACACAAAAAAATTTGTTATCACCATTTTTCTTTCTCATGAAAGCCAAACATGGAGTAGTTAGAGTCTGGAAAGGTACCTTAAGAAATCAAGTTTCTAATCTGAGATTGCAGTCCACTTTCTGGAATGAACAGGGGTCATTTACTCATTCTAATGGAAGGATTCCCATGCCAGTAACCATATCACTTTTCAACAGACAAATCTCTTGCCTTGCTCTGTCACAGATAATCACCGAGAGTCTGGAGACAGGGCTTTGGGAAGTAAGAAAACTGATGTCTAATTAGGAGATCAGGAATTTTGGCAAACTCTGACAAACGTGGTTTGGAAGCTTGAGAGACTCTTGGCAGTAACACATGTGAGAAAAAAAATCCAGAAACTTTTAGAAAAATTGTGGGCACAGAGGTTAAGAGAGAAATGAAGAAATTGTGGAAAATCCTACAAAGTAGCAACTGAGGGAATAGCTCAGTGGCAGAGTACTTACTTGCCTAGCATGCATGATGTGTCCTGGTTTCAGTCCCTAGCACCACAGGAAAGTGTTTGGAATTTTGGTTTTACTAGACCACAATCAAAAAGGAAAAGAAAACCTTTCCTTCCTAATTTTTTCTTTTCTGTGCTGCATGGTGTTTTCCTAGGCTAGTAAAGAATAACAGCAGTAAGAACAATAGTAGCTAACATATTTAATGTGAGGAGGGAAACTAAATCCACTACACTCAACTAGTGATTAGATCATCATGGAAATTGACACTCCATTCCAACTGGGAAGCAAATGTGAATGATTATTATCCTGGAATCTGAACAGACTCATGTTTTTAATCTATTCCTTCTTATAAATCAGACACTGAGAGATATTTATTTTATCTGAGGGTAATAATAAACAACTAAAAACTTTTTATTTAACTCCTTAAATTCTTAGATCTGACCCACTTAGCTGGCATGACTATTTCCATTTTACAGATGAAAAAACAAACATTCAGAGAGGTAAAGTGCCTTGACGAAGCTTTAAAACTTGTAACAGTCTACTTAATCCTGAGTGCATAATCCCCATTATCTCAATATATTGTCTAGGAAATGACAGTGCTGATGGTGAACACAACCATACTGAACCTCCAACATTTGTTTCTCTAAACACATATATTACTATAGAGTATCAATTTCACTGAAGCCTGCTTGGCTCACATGATGAGTGCATGCAGTTAAAAGAGCACTTTTCTTTAGCTTTCTTACTCCTTCCAGTCTGTGTTCCTTTATGCACATTTTGAAAAATGGGAAAATATGGAGAAATTGTGGTTATATCTTCAAACTAAGAACCTGCCCGTTTTCTAGCTAGGCCCACTCTAAAACATGATTTGCTAACATGAGATTTTGAAAGGGTGCCCAGAGCCAGCTTTGGTGAGTACTTCAACTCCTCCTTATTCTTGGCAGAAGTAGGTGGGATCAAAATCAGAAAATGCTGTTTAAAAATCTTGACTTTGCTGGCAAGTTATCCACAGATATCAACATGGTGTCCATCCTTCTGGATAACCTATGAGTTATGTATCTTCAGTTAAATATTGAGCTTTCTTTCCAAAGTCCATAGAATTTTCTAGGTTTCGTAGGGATCCTTGCTTTCTAGAAATCCAGGTATAACCCCTTTGTACTTTGAAAGAGCTCCCTATTTCAATCTTTAGTAGAGGAAACTTCATAGGAAGTCTTAAAGAAGTGGTATGTATTGTATCAGGTGCGTATGTTAAGAAAATAAATTTAAAAGTAGCATCTAGACTCACATTCTTCATTGCTACTGCTAGGTCCTTCACTAAGGTAAAGCACAGCTTCATCTTTTTGAAGGTGGAAACTACTCAACTCTTACTGTGTTTCTGTTTCTCAAAAACAAAAATATCATTGAGCTGCCATATATTTATTAAATAAAGCATCTTGTGGCATTGAACTTCATAGTCTGAAACTAATTTAAAGAATGAAATTAAGCTGGATATGATAGTGCATACTTGTAGTCACTGAGGCAGGAGAATTGTGAGTTTAAGTATAACATGGGCTACCTAGCAAGACCTATCTCAAAAAAAAAAAAAGAACAACCCTCCAAAAAAAGAATATCAACACAATAGCACCATTAGGTTATGTAATGTGGCAAGTTCGTGTTTCACCTGTACTTTGGACAATAAATAGCACATTTAAATCTTTGTAGCTGATTCCTCAAGGTCAGTACCAGCCCCACAGTAATGATAAGGCTGACTTTTCTCTACGCAACTTCTAGTATATTCTAGGCCCTGAGCCAAGGTTTTTGCTTCCATTATCTTACTTAGCCCTTACAAAGACCTTAAGGATAATGTGCTATAGCCTCATGTCACAGAAAAGATCCAAAGATCAAGGTCAATTAACCTGCAAGTTGAATGAGAAACACTAAGCTGGAATTTAGATAAAAGTCTTTGCATTATTTTATGCTGACTCTTACTATGCCAGAGTCCACTGTCAGTAACTTTGGACTCCAGGAAGCTGCCTTATAGCTTGTGCTTGACCTAGTTCTCTCTGATGGCTCTCTCTTAAGGGTCATCTCTTCCTTTAGTGTGTCTCCACATTCAATGTTGATCACCATTTTGCTCACTGATGGCCTAGAAGCCCCAAAGACCCATGAAACTAGCTGATATAATACTTAGTGTAGTAGATGCTTTCATGATGAAAAGGAAACTAAAACTTGAGGAGCTCATATCAAAGAAAATAGGAAGATATTTGCTTTAATATTCCAAATAAGATTGTTAATAGATGATATAGCAAAAATAATTCCACATATTTAAAAATGTAATAATTCCACTATTTTCTCCATTCCTAGAAGGAAATAAGGAATTGTAGCATAATAGTCTACTCCTTTCACAATACATATTGTCTTCGTGACACTTGCAGTCACGCATGGAAACTCTAGCTTCCATAATCTAATACAGTATATTCTTTTCTATAAATGATACTGAAATAACTACAGCAAACAGGTTTTATGAGTGTTGTGAATTTGATACGGCAATATTTGAGATATCTGATCTATAAGGTTAATATAAGTGAATCCCATTGTTTTTAAAAGATGGATTTTAAGTGGCATCAACTAAGTATATTTAGAACACTTTCTGCCAGTTCTTTTCTTTTAGATGGTAAGAGAAGCAACTAGGTCAGGATGCCTATTACATTAGTTCATAATGTGCGGTAGAAACTAAGATGCTCCATCTTTTTTTTAGGAATATGTTTTGTTGCATTATGATGAGTTACTGTTAAATTTTGCAGTGCAAGGTCTTTGCTTTCTTGGGGTTCCTCCAGATCATAATGTGGGAAGAGTATAGGGATGGAGTTGCTTTGAAGGATAAATGGGCATAGTTATGTATTCTCCCTTTCTCTCTCTATTTTTAATCCTTTCTAAATGAAACTAGAGAGTACAGATGTGAACCATACATTTGGTTTGGAGTAGTGTGGTAAAGGTTTATTTAAATAACATAGGCTTTTCTGATAGTAACATCCCAGAAAGCAAATTTTCCCAATATTGGTTCTGTTCAGCTCATAGCCATTACTCTAGGTTTCTATGCCAACAACTAAAACTTTGGTTTCAGCCTTTTAGAATGTGTGTGTGTGTCCTGGAATACTAAGTAAATTTTGTTGTTACTAATAAAGGAACTGGGTTTTAGCTAGTGGGTCAAGTAAAAGGCAGAGGGTGTGCTTTAGCCCACTTATTTATTGGGCAGTTGGTTCTTAATATAATTTTTTCCAAGTTTCTCCATTTCCTAACAAATGGGGCAATGTCATTCTTTCTGATGGAGGCATAGAATTCCATTGTGTATATATACCACATTTTCTTGATCCATTCATCT